CCCGGCTGATTTTTTGATTTATTGTAGAGATGAGGTCTCGCTGCCCAGGCGGGTCTCGAACCCGCGGGCTCAGGCAATCCACTCACCTCAGCCTCCCAAAGGCACAGGATTACAGGCTGAGCCACCGAGCCCGGCTGTTTTTTTTTTTTTTAATAGGAATTTCTGAAATTATTTGTAACTAAAATGGATAATTGTGTTGGGAACAATATTTATTGGCTTTTCTCAGTAGATAGCCATTATTCCTAATATAATATCCTAGGCTTTATTAGTTCTGGATTTTATATTTTTATGTATTTTTTATTTTCCAGTAATGGAATATGTTCTGGCTTAGTATATTCAAGTCATGAATATTTTCTAATGTATATTATAAGATAACTTTTAATCAAATTATAAAATTTCTAAATATATAATTATCTTTCAAGATCATCTTTCTTTTTTTTAATTAGAGGAGCTAAAATTTACAACTTGTTCTCTTCTGTTGTGATGTACTATGTGAACATTTTCATGACCTTCCTGGAGCACTTTCTCCTTATTTTATTATGGTTAGGGTTTCAGGGAAACATGTCTCTGTTTTTTAATTGACTGGAAGCATTTGAGGCCAGGCGCCTTCTGAGGACCATTGCCTTGTCTCTGATGAAACAGTAGCGCTCCTGTGGCAGGTCACTTGAAGCTTTTATCTGTTCCATTCCTACACTCTCAAATCCCTAGAGCATTTCTTAAGACCCAAATGTAAATTTCTTGATGATCAGCTCTTTCCTGCTCCCTTTCAAATGCTGTGAATGTATCCCTCTAATATACAAAGTTGCTATTTTTACTAAAACCCTCATTACCATGAGAAACTGACTTCATCTTCTTAAATCTCTGGAGCCTCAAGTTTCTGACTGTTACCATTTACTTTTAAAGATTCAAATAGGCATAATAACTAAATATCCACTTTCCAGTGATAGAAATCATCAAGCAATTATTTATATTTATATTTATTTTTATTTTTGTCACCCAAACTGGAGTGCAGTGGCACGATCACGGCTCACTGCAACCTCAATCTCTGCAACCTCAATCTCAGGTGATCCTCCCGCCTCAGCCTCCCAAGTAGCTGGGACTACATGTGCATGCCACCACACCTGGCTAATTTTTTTTGGGGGGGTAAAGATGGGGTCTCACTATGTTGCTTAGACTGGTCTCAAACTCCTGGGCTCAAGCGATTCTCCTGCCTTGGCCTTTAAAGTACTGGGATTACATAAAATATGCCTGGCCATATTTGTAATTATTATTGGTACAAAAAAGTTGTATGTATTTATGGGATACACTTGATGTTCTGATACAGGCATACAATGTGTTATGATCAAGTCAAAGTTTTGGGGTAGCCATCACCTCAAGCATTTATCATTTCTTTGTGTTAGGAGCATTTGAATTCCATCTTTTAATTATTTTAAAATATACAGTAAATTATTATAACTATAGTCACCCTAATGTACTACTGAATACTAGATCTTATTAATTCTACTCAACTGTATACTTGTACCAATTAATCATTCCCACTTTATTCCACCCTCCCCAGTACGCTTCCCAGCCTCTAGTAGTTATCATTCTACTCTCTATCTCCATGAATTAAAATTTTTTTTACCTCCCACATATAAGTGAGAAGATGCCAAATTTGTCTCTCTGTGCCTGGCTTCTTAACATAATGTCTTCCAGTTCCATCCACGTTGTTGCAAAAGACAGCATTTCATTGTTTTTCATGGCTGAATAATATTCCATTATGTGAATATACCACATTTTAAAAATCCATTCATCCATTAATAGAAACTTAGGTTATTCATGAAGCAGTTTTTGTCTTATTTGCTAACTGTTATATTAGTTCCTTCCAGTGGCCAAACATGACATCCCTGTCCAGTCTGTTCTCTTCCAAATTCACCTCTGTGTGTATTTAAATTATGGCTTGAATCCATTTTTTTTCCCATTGAAAATTCAACTGACAGCACCCAGATCCCTCAATTTTGGTTTCAGGCTCCTCTCACCCTTTCCTTTTAGGAAAACTAGTTGAACTATTTCTCTTTGTGCCCCTTAAATCTCCTTCATGGTTGAACCTTTTTGCATACAATTTTCTTCTTCCTTGTCTCCAGCTTTTCTTTTCTCTGTTCTCTCTTCTTTTCTTTCCTTCTCTTCTTTTGGGCACTATTAATCCCATTTCTGTCTTATGATAAGAGCAAGACAAAATAACCTTTCTTTCACCCTACCTTGCCTACTCAAATGAATTCCATCTCTCGCTTTTCCGTTGCCACTCCTTGGTAATGTGACTATCCTTTACGTTGCATTTAAAATTGTCATCTGTCTCTCTTGTGTGTTTCATGTTCTGTTCACATTGACCACCTAGATCTGGTCTGTCTTGCATTGTCTATCTCAGAAATTGCCTACATGCCAGCTGATTGCAGATGGGAACTGGATAACAGCTTTGCAGCTCTTGATGGCTTATATTTTTCAGTTTGCATTTCTGCGTTGCATTTCATCAATCTCTTTTATTCTAAATTTATTTTTATGTTCTATATTTTAGCGAGAATATAAAAAGGTCTTTGAGGAAAACAAGGGAATGTATCATTTTGATGCAGATGCTACAGAACACCTGCACCATAAAGGCAATGCCACCCTCCAGAGTCAGGTATGTGCTCCCTGAGTACACGCTTTCCCTGCCAAGACCCCCTAACCATCTCAATGCCTGCCACTCACTGCTGTGTACCTCCACTGAGAATGTGCAGTTGTGGCAAAGTATAGGTCCCGAGAAAGTTAACATTGCTTTGGGAAAAATCTCATTTTTTCTGTATAGTTATTGAGTCAGGGAAGCTTGAATCATATTTCCATATAGAGACATTTTATAAAATAATCATTACGTAATTAAAAAGTTACAAGATAGAAATTAAACTATGGTCAAATCTCATGATGATTTACATTTTTATAGTGCACTGATTTGTCATCTTGAGCTGCAACATTCATTTTCCAGGTGCAAGGCTTATTAACATTTCTTAGTTCAATTATAAAAGTGTTATTAAAAGGGAAGACAATCTTACTAGTGTATTCTAACTGAGTACTTCTTCCAGTATGAAATTCTGTGTACCACTTGAAAAAAACTTAAAAAAATAACTTCTTCCTAGCATACTTTAAAGACCATATCTATATTTTTCATTCTAAGTTTATTTTATTTTGAATACATTTACTGATCACTCTGTCATACTCCTCTGCAACAAAAATATGTCTTCACAAATAGATATTTTAAAATTTGTCATATTTTCATTCACCATAAAGTTCTAAGTATTTAAAAATTTATTTGGGGTTGAATTATTATTAATATAATTATTATCAGACAGCTTAATGAATCATTTCATAAATAGCTACTAAGCATAAGAATTTTAATGAAATTGTGATCAGAAGTCTTCTATGAATGTAACTTAAAGAGGTATATTGCTTAAAAGTCAACACTCTGATAGCTTGCATGTAATTTTAGTTTTTGCTAGTAGGGGATATGAAATGTCGCTCATTTTATAAATTGAAATAATGTGAGGATTGACTATAATTGAAACAAATAATTTTTTTTTTTTTTTTTTGAGTTAGAGTCTCACTCTGTCATCCAGACTGGAGTGAAGTGGCCGCTCCTGGTCACCGCAGCCTCGACCTGCTGGGCTACCAGTGATCCTTTCGCTTCAGCCTTACAAGTAGCTGGAACTACAGGCGTGTGCTACCACGCTCAACTAATTTTTGATTTATTGCCCAGGCAGGTCTCGAACTCACGGGCTCAGGCAATCCACTCACCTTGGCCTCCCAAAGCGCGGGATTATAGGCTGAGCCACCGAGCCCGGCCAAAACAAATAATTTATAATAGTATATTATTGAATAATACATAGTAAAACTGATATAAAATCATATAAAATGTTTCTGTGCATGTCTTACTCAGTGTCTATGAAAAAATTCAGTAGTCTCAGAGGACATTGTCCTCCCTTTGACAAAATAATAGAGACTCAAACCCATATTTTTTTGTTTATGGTTTATTTAACAGACATCAAAGTTATGACAGATTTCTCTCTCTCCCCTACATATATGTACACCATGTTCATATACATCTGTAACTCCATATATGTTATATATATGACCCAGCTATTTGACAAAATAATTTATACAAGTCTTGGAATTACATTATTTAGTTGTTTTAAATTATTTTTAGTTCTGAAAAGATTGTATATGTTTTCTGTTTACATTCTTTCTATGTCATTAACTACAAGGAACCCAATGATCAACCTAAATGGCCAGAATAATATAATTTCAGAAAGCAGGATGATTTATTTTGCTTTGCTTAGTTTATATACAGGCTTTTGCATTTTTATATGCCTTTTATACTTTTTCAATGAAGGTTAAATACAAAGAAGAATATGAAAAAAATAAAGGAAAGTCGATGCTTGAATTTGTTGAGACACCATCATATCAAGCTTCAAAGGAGGCTCAAAAGATGCAAAGTGAGGTAAATCACTTGGTTTGTTACTAATTGTTTAATGTATTATCCTTTTTTGGGGGGGGTTGGAATCTCACTCTTGTCACCCAGGCTAGAGCGCAGTGGCATGTTTCATGGTCACTGCAGCCTCAATGTGTTGGGCTCAGGTGATCCTTCTGCCTCAGCCTTCCAAGTAGCTGGAACTAAAGATGCACGCCAAAACATCCAGTTAGTTATTGGGATTTATTGTAGAGACCAGGTCTCACCAGTTGCCCAGGCTGGTCTTGAACCCTCCAGCTCAGGTAATCCACTCACCTGGCCTCCCAAAGTGCTGGGATTACAGGATGAGCCACTGCACCTGGCCTGTTTTATCATTTGAAAGGAACCAGTGAAGTGACTTGGAATGCTTAGTGTGTCTACAATAAAGAACACTGCTCCAGGCAGATTCAAGAACAAGCTTTCTTGACCCAGCCACCCACTGCCAGGGATCTTGTCCAGGTCATTGGGTTTGTCTGGTCCTTAGTTTTTCTCCTTTGGTGAAAATGGATCTCAAGCCAGTTGAGGTTTTAAAGTCCGTCTCACCTATAATATTCTAAGACTATACAAGGGGGAACCCCTCAAAAAACCAGAATTGTCTTTTAGAGGGTAGGCCCCTTCTAGTACAAGCTTACCTCACTAGGTAGATGTTCTAGGAACCCATCAGCATCAATGTACCAGTCAGCCTTGTGAAAGACTGCATTCAGCTTCAGTGAATTTTTTTTTGAGATTTTTTTCATGATGGGTGACTTACAAGGACACCTGCCCACACCGCACTGAGTGTTCAGCAGTTTTTGACCAAAACAGCACCATCCCAATGCCCCTCCCTTCCTACTCACCAGATCTTGCCCTGACTGGCATATTTTTGTTTCCCTGGATAAAAACAGTCTTCAAGGGGAAATGTTTTGCTGGTATGGAAGAGGTAAAACAAAACAAAACAAAAAACAGCAGTAGCATTAAAAGGCATCAACATTGATGAATTCAAAAAGTGTCTTGAGTAGTGGAAAAGCATCTTGATAGGCATATTGCATCAAACAGAAAGTATTTTGAAGGTGACTGACGTTTAAGCATGTAAGAATGAATACACAATTTTTAATAAATTCCAGGGTTTTTTGGGTCCTCCCTTTTATAATCAACACTTTCTGATTGTGTCAATGTAAAACTATGATGAGTACATGAAAACTAAAAGGAAAATGAAAAGCTGGTTGCTTTATTTACCCTTTTTTTTCAGTGACAATAGAACTAACACTTATTAAATACTCCATACTAGGTAATATGCTAAGAGCCTTATTCAAGCTCCTTTAATACTCAAAGTAGGAATATTAGGGAGACATTCTCCCTAGAGTTGTACTATATCCTCTGAAATTAATTGCCATAAATAAAATTATGTATTCAGTAAATTTCAATGTTTTAGGATCTGGTCAAAATAATGAATTATTCCCTTTTATCTGTTTGTTTATATCTTGGTCCATTTTGTGCTGTTATAACAATACCACAGACTGGATAATTTATAAAAAGCAGAGATTGATTACAGTTCTAGAGGCTAGGAAGTTCAAGATCCAGAGGTCTACATCTGGTAATGGGCTTCTTGCTGTATCATTCCATGGTTGAAGGTGGAAGAGCAAGAGAGCACACCCAAGGACCTGTGTGTGTGTGTTAGGGGGAGACCAGCTCACCCTTTCGTCAGGGGCCCACTCCCGTGATAACAAACCCATTCCCATGACCACGGCATTAAGTCATTCATGAGTGCAGAGCCCTCATACCTAATCACTTCTTAAAGGTTCCACCTCTAACAGTGTTTCATTGGGAATAAAATTTCCAACACATTAACTTTAGAGGACATATTCAAGTCATAGCAACTTATTTAATACATTTCTTTCCCCCTTCCCCAAAAAACAGTTAAGGGTTTTCTCTCCTTATCTATTCTGTTCCCAACATAGATAACACTAAGTCACATCTAGATATTTTCCACCCTGGTTTCTCTGTTCCCATGAGATTCCTTTGTGTTTTGTATTTCTGTTTTTGGGGGGACCAGACACACAAGGTTTTGTCTGTAGCTGACATCCAAATTCTATGGGTATAGTGGGTTCTTACTCCAAAGGGACAGAAATAGTCGGCAGTAAAATCAGCCCACAACCATGGTACTTCATGCTAGGCATGCTCAATGGGCGAGATCTTTTCTGTTGTCCAGTACTAATATCAAAATGGGCAGAAGTGATAACTTCTATACAAATGACCTCACTGGAATCTTGTAAGCATTGTATGTGCAATTTGTTGAAGTGTTATAATTCATCTTCTTGGTAAAAGGGCACTCAGATAGTACTTGGTTTATTGAATTGTCGAAGTTTCTTAATTTCTTTTTTAAGCAAAAGTCAAAAAAATTTTTTTTTAAATACTTTTCATGTCTTATATCTTCTTGAACCACTAACGGGGAGTCTGGTAAAGAAATATCAGATAATTTTCTTTTGACTAAATTAGCTGTTTGTTTTAACCAAATTGACAGAACTGGGGAATTTGATCAGAGTTCAGAAGCCCTACAAAAACTTTCATTTAATGGAATAAACTTTACTGGAATACATTTTCTGCCTTTAGATAACAGCATATATAAAGTATTTCATATATCCTTTATATCACTTTATTGTCTTCCATTACAGCAATACTTTTTGGGTGGGCTAGAGTCCCCCATTGAATTTCCCCATTTTGTAGGAATTATGTGGCCCTTGTCACTGATCCATAGCCCTGAGAAAAAGTTTCTGTTTTCAGGAGCTGACATGGTGCTTTTGTTTAATGGGTTTTCTGGAAGTTTAAGACTATATAAAATCATTAAATAAATTTTCACCAAAAGACACAGGGATAAAAAACAAATAACTTCATTTTTCTGAAAGTAATCTCAGGATGGCGGCATCTGCATTTCAGGCTCGTCCTCCTCTTCCCCATTCCCTTTTCTGCCTTCTTTTCCCCTTTCCCCTCAACCCCCTTCTTTCATCTTTAGCTACAGAACATTCATGCTGAGGACCCTTTTATCATTCTCGTCCCACAGCTCCTTAATTTTTTTCTACTCTGATTAGTTAACTTTCCTCTCACCAAACAAATCCTGGAACTTGTAATTTACCATACGGATGAAAAATGCCAAACTCTAAGGTATTTTTAAAAAGTGTATTCTGAGCCAAATGTGAGTGAACTAGGTCTATGACACAGTCCCAAGAATTCCTGAGAACGTTTGCCTAAAATGGTTGAATTCAACTTGGCTTTGTACATTTTTAGGGAGACAGAAGTTACAGGCAAAACATAAATCACTACATGTGAGGTTCATATTGGTTGGCCCCAGGAAGGTGAGACATCTTCAAGTGTGGGCTTGCAGGTCATAGGCAGATCTAAAGATGTTCTAATTGGTAGTTGGTAGAAAGAGTTAGGCTATGTCTAAATAATTCGAAATTAGTAAAGGAAATGAGGAGTTAAGAAAAGGGAGATGAAGATTTGAGGAAGCCAAGGTTCTTGATACGTAGATGAAGGTTCTAAGTAACAGGCTTCAGAGAGAATAGGTAGTGTCCTAAAAGGTGCCCAGAATCTGGGAATCCCCAGGAAGGGAATTCTATACAGATGCAAATTTCCCAAAAGACAGTTTTTCAGGGTCATAACATATTTCTGATGTTCTTATTTATCTGTTGTGTGATGTCATACCAGACAGAGACAGGCTGGAAAGTAAGCAATTTTACATAGGGTTAATAAGAACCCATCTGACGAAATTTTACAGTTTGTAGAATGTGACTCTCTAGGCCTCTTAGTTAGGCATTTGGGCAAGAAGAAAAAGGTTAGTTTAGTTTTCAGTGGTTAATATATTCTAATACCATATTTCTGTATTAAAAGTGACAGTAATTTATGATTTGGGATTTGAGCTCCCCATTTCTAATGATAGTTTCTCTTCACCTGACTTATTTTCTCACTCCTGCCAGGAGAGAGTTATTTTTCCTTTGATTACAGCCATTGACTATTAGATTTTTTTTTTTTTTAGGCTCAACAATGATGTCTTGAAGAGAGTGAACTCTCCCAATACAAAATATCTTTGGACCCAATTTGCACACTAGAATAATAACATAGCAAAATATCTTAGACAAATTTTGATGTGAAAAAAATGTCTTTAAGTATAATGCTAATTAAGTAGACACAAAGAGAGCCATCTGTCTTCTCGAACCCACGGGTTCGAGACCCGCCTGGGCAACTTGGCGAGACCTCATCTCTACAATAAGTGAAAAAATTAGCTGGGCGTGGTAGCGTGCACCTGTAGTTCCAGTACTTGGAAGGCTGAGGCAGAAGGATCGCCAGAGCCCAGTGGGTCGAGGCTGCGGTGGCCGGGAGCGGCCACTGCACTTCAGTCTGGGTGACAGAGTGAGACTCCAACTCAAAAAAAAAAAAAAGATGGTTTTTATTCCTAGAAGGCAGGCTTGGCTATGAGTTCCTTGAGGAACCTCCTACAGGCAAATTTAAGTATTTATGATCTCAGGAAAAGCCGTTGGACTCTTTGCTATGTCTTGTGATTAAACCTATCTCGCTTTCTTCTAATGCCAAATATAGGTTTGATTCATGTGTTTTCTAGAAGAAATCTCTAAATCTGGCTTTGAGAAGTTCTTTTTCTTGCTTCACAAATATAGCTGTCCTAACAAAAAGCATGCCAGAGGTTTTTGGATTTTTATATTTTGGCCAATTATAGTTGTAATCAACCTCCTTTAATGATTCACTTTAGTTAAATAATTTGCTTTGTTTTGTTTTGTTTTCCCTGAGAAGAAGGACTTTTGAAGTGATATAGCTAGTATGAATAAGCAAATAAATACACAGACATATTTACATTTCACCATTTAATGAGTTCCTTTTGGCTGGAAATACCCTAGATTCAGCCTTCTAACCATTTTATCCCTATTAGTTCCACATAAGGAAGAAGACAGTTTCTCATCATTGTTCTCAGTGTATCTATAGTTCTTCATTTCAGAGTGTTCTCAATGCAATTGCTTCATTAGCTTCATTAGATGCACCAAATCCTTTGTGCCTCTCCTTGTGGCTCTGCACGCATTGTTTGTTAAATAGCCGTATGTAACACCAACGTTAAGTGAGGAGACAACATGCTTCTCTTATTCTCCCTCATGGTTGGGAAGAATTCTTTATTTATGCAATTATCTATCTCTAATGAATATGCAGTAAATCTCCTACATACAAACCTTCAAGTTGTGAAATTTCAAAGATGCGAACCTGTGTTCCCACGTTTAATCACATTAAGTTAGTTCACATGTCTGGTGTATATTGCTATGTGCATGCCTCCTCAAGTGGTTGTGTTTTTGTGTACCTTACAGTACTGTATAGAGTATGGTAGTACAGTACTGTCATTTCAAGTCCAGGATGTATTATAAACCTGTTACAGTACAGTACTATATAGCCAATTGTGTTAGTTGGGTACCTAGGCTAATTTTGAACTTATGAACAAATTGGACTTACAGACATGCTCTCAGAATAGAACTGAATAGAATTTAATGCAGAATTTACTTATTCTTATCATTATTTTTTGATACAGTTTGAGTAACATACTTGACTGACAAAATATGGGTCCTTGTTTGGTCTGTATTTCACATCACTGGATATTTTTGCTGTTTAGAAAGACTCTTTATAGTCATAAGGCATGCATTGCCATTGATTTTCAAATGCGAAATTCAAATGCAAGAATTAAGAGAATCATAGCCTAAGGGTAGCAGAATGTGTCAAAGGGGCAAGTGGTGGTATGAATCTAGACACTTCCATGAACACTGTCCATGACTCCCTTTCATTTCTTGTTGTGAACTCTTACATATGTAAAAAAAGGATTTATCAGGTTCAAGGTAAGATTCTTTTCACATTACAACTTGATTGATATCGAACTCCATATATAGTAGAAAAATATTCTCAATGCCAAAATCATTAAAGGAAAATGCCTCCCCACCCCCAGTCAACCTTTAACCATCAATACATGTTAGAAATGATATTTCCTGAATCCATGAAAGATTGACAGAAGAATGATGGGGACATGAATGTTAATGCTACTTTGGTTTGAAGGGGGTTCCTACACCACCAGATTTTTCTTCCAGTGGATGGGTGCACTGGCTTTTGAGTAAACTAGTTGGGTGATCCAATCAAAGAGTCAGTCTTATTGGTTCCCTCCTAAAATGGGCTGATGTCAATCACAGACTGGTAAGATGTTAAACAACTTCATTCAGAGTGACTTACCAGAGAAAAGGGGTACTTGATTATTCTGCTTTTGTTTGCTAGAATTTGAAAATTTATGATAAACTTGAATTTATTTTCCCATTGATAAGGTGACTCTTAGGTGGTGGAATTATATAAGAAAACATAAATTTTTTTCCTGGGAACTCTTGTTCTAATATCTTTTCAACAGCCACTCATATTTCCTAAATTTAAAATCATGTTGTCTTATTTAACAGAAAGTTTATAAAGAAGATTTTGAGAAGGAGATTAAAGGAAGGTCATCACTGGATTTAGACAAGACTCCAGAATTTTTACATGTAAAGTACATCACCAACCTTCTGAGGGAGGTATGATTCTACTGTTTGCTATTAAATACCACAAAAGAAAAATAGAGAAATAACCCAGGAAATTCTTACTTAATTCTGTACTAATTAAGTGTTGAGGTATTAAGCTATTACTCTTCTTCTTCCTTTGACCTTTACTAATAAAATTTTGTATTTTCATTAAAAACAGCAAAGTGTGTGTTAACATTTCCATTTAAAATTGAGGGAAGAAATTACCCAGATTTCCTGGGAAGACTTGAAAAATAGTCTGGTTTTGTGTTTTAGTTGTAGCTCAGAACCTCTCTGTAAGTTGTTTTATAGCTTTGTAGCAGTTATTTAAAAAAAATTTTTTTTGAATATGAATGGAACGAGCATAATTCTTTCAAATTTAGTTATTAAAAAATATATTAAAACCCAGCTTTTTCTGTAACTTCCTTGTAACATTCTTATAACATTTAATATCAGAAACGGGTGCTCACATGTGAGGGTCTGGATAAATGGTACATTATTTATAAGTTGTTTGTGTTCTAAATAGGGAAAAGTAATCTATTTAGCATATAGAGCAGAGGAACTCATGTCTATTTTTCATTTTGTTCTCTGTAGGATTACCTCCCAAAACTTAAGAGTGTGTTTTGACTCATTATTAATATATTAAATTTGTTCAACATTGAAGTTCAAATATCATGCTGACAGTCCATCCTTTTAAAAGTTTATCTTCTTGTGTTTTAAATGGCTGCAAAATAACTTAGAACTCTCCCAAATCTACTTAAACAGATTCTCTTTATATTAAGGAAAATAGTTCTCTAACTATAAATGGAATATATATTAATGGAATACTTAAAATGTAATAATATATATTATGGAAAATATTATATAAATAAGATATACATTACATATAATGTGAAATTCCAATTCATTTTAAATGTTTGAGCTGAAGAAACTATCCCCTGAAGGAAATATCTTGAACCAATGAAATAAATTAGAGATTAATTACCTATAGGAGCACATCATCACAGACTTCTTTAATACACAAATGCAAACTGGTTATACCATTTAACTGATTTTAGATATTTAATGTGATTCACTGTCATAATTTATGTTGTGCTGAAATATGCATATAATTTCTTTTTCTTTTTTTTTTTGAGTTGGAGTCTTAATCTGTCGCCCAGGCTGGAGTGCAGTGACACACTCATGGCCACTCCAGCATCGACCTGCTGGGCTCCAGTGATCCTTCCTCCTCAGCCTTTCAAGTAGCTGGAACTACAGGCGTGTGCTACCACACCCAGCTAATTTTTTATTTTTATTGTAGAGACAAGGTCTTGCCAAGTGGTCTGGGCTGGTCTTAAACTCACAGGCTCAGGCAATCCACTCGTCTTGGCCTCCCAGAGTGCTGGGATTACAGGCTGATGCCTATAATTTCTATAAGAATTCTCTTGTTACTCTATCTTTTCTCACTTTTGGTTCCTAATAAAAATGTTTGAGGTTGAAGGCTAATCATATGATAACTTCCTGGAGAGTAGAATTGTGGGTAGTAGAGATTGGGATGGATGATGGGGGAAGAGGATGGGGAGAAGTTGATTAACGGATACAAAATTACAGCTAGGTAGAAGGAATGAGTGCTGGTGTCCTGCAGCACTGTTGGGGTAAATGTAATTAACTGTAATTCATTGAATATTTCCTAAGCTGGAGGAGAGTATTTTGAATGTTCACAACACAAATATATGCTAAATGTTTGAGGTGATGGATATGTCAATCACGGTGATTGGGTCATTACATATTGTAAATACATGTTGAAATAATTAAAAAAAAATTTTTAAATGGCACCTTGCTACTGCTATTGTCTTCCATTTTAAAATATGTGTTATTGGTGTGGTGGCGCATACCTGTAGTTCCATCTACTTGGAAGTCTGAAGTGGAAGGATCGCCTGAACCCAGCAGATCGAGGCTTTGGTGGCTATGAGCAGCATGCCACTGCACTCCAGCCTGGGCGACAGAGTGAGACTCTGACTCAAATAAATAAATAATTAGGGTCAATTCTTAACACTTTTTAAATAATTTATTTTAAATAATGTTTACTATCACACTAGAAAAATGTGACAGAATCCCTAACATAGAAAGGTATTAATATACTGCCAGAGGTTTTAAAAAGATACATTATTTATATGAATTTTTTAAGGTGGAATCTTTTCATCCCCTACAAATGACAATGCAAAATCTATTTTTAGATTCATAAATGGCATTACTGTATTCCATTGCTTTTTTCTTTTATTCCTCTTTCAGAGTGAGTCTTATTTTAGACTTATTCAGGAATATGCACCAGGGTGGCAAAAGGCTCAGACTATTGTATTGGTCCACTCAGGCTACCATAACCAACTGCCATAGTCTGGGTGGCTTAGACAACAGACTTTTCTCAAAGTTCTGAAGACTGGGAAGTCCAAGATTAAGACGCTGGCAAATTCAGTTCTTGGAAGGGGCCCTCTTCCTGGCTTACAGACAGACACCTTTATGCTGTGTCATCACAGCAGAGGGAGAGAGAGAATTCTGATCTTTTTTCTGATTCCTATAGAAACCACAGTCTAAGCAAGGGAGCCCTACTTTCACAAACCCATCTAATCCTGCTTACCTCCCTAAGGCCTCACCTTCAAATACAATTACAGGGGGATTGGAGCTTCAGTGTATGAATTTGGGAGGCACACACCATTTAGTCTATAATAACTATGATGCTAAGTGAAATAAACTAGGTACTGAAAGACAAATGCTGTATGTTTCCATTTACATGTGGAATCTAAAACACACTAACTCACAGAAGCAGAGAGTAGACTGTTGGTTACAGAGGCTAGGGGCTAGGGGAATGGGAACATGATAGTCAAAGGGCGCAGAATCACAGAGAAGAAGAAAAACATTTTTTGAAATTTGTACAGTGTGGTGAATATGGCTAATAGCAGTGTATATAGTACATTTCAAAATTACTAAGAGAGTACATTTCAAATATTCTCATCTCCCAAAATGTTAACTATTTGAGGTGATGAATATATTAATTAGCTTGATTTAATTATTCCACATTGTATTTATAAATTAGGATATCACTTTGTACCCCATAAATGTATACAATTATAGATTATCAATTTACAATAAAAAATTTTAAAAACTAACTCGAAAAAATAATTATAGAGCTTTTAATTTGAAGAAAGGACTATTGGTGACTTTGATTATTTTTTCCTTTTTTAAGTGTATTTAGCTTCAAATGGATATTGTGTTTTTTACATTATGATTCTTACATTGACATTGCCGTTTAGTGTCTTCAAAGTGTCATTTTATACTTCATTTCTTTTGATTCCCCCCATTGCCCTTTGACATTGGTAGAAGAAGTATTTTTATTTTCATTTTAACAGGGTGGAAATCAAGGTCAGGTTATTTAAATGTCGTCCTGAAGGTCACACCACCAAATAAGTGAAAGAGCTCTGACTTTTGCCAGGTTCATTTGACTCAGAGATCATTCCAAAATTACAAGCAGGCCATTCCAATGTCTAGGAAGCTATTAGTTGAACAGAGGACAGGCTAATTTAATTATACTAGAAGAAGGGAAAGTAACATGAAATGAACCCTAGAATTAACTCGAACCTGATTTCTTATCATTAAAGGAAGTTTCATCTTTCATCTGACAAGTTAGTCACCAATGCAACCTAGTTGAATGGGAATAAGATTTACTATTTTTATGATGCAATTAAGTAAGAAAACAAGCAATTCAATAGTAGAAAAAAAAACCAAGTTATGTATATAAGTATTCATGGAAGGCATTTGGATCTACTTAAAATATGACAATAACATAGGTAAAATTTAAACTATATATTATCAATCTGTAGGGAATTATTTGGTTTTACAAATCTTTAAATAGAATGGAAACTTTTTTAAAACTTCTACATGAATCGTTTTGATTTTGTAATTTTCCATTCTTTTTCTACTATGTTCTAAAATGTATTCACATTTTATAGATAACTTTCAAAAAGTACTTCAAATAATTAGAAGAAGAATGTATTCTTAAGAGCTTCCTTACCATTTGAAGGGAAGTTATCTTTAAAAAAATCTCTATGGTACCAAAACATATTGAGAAAAAGTATGAAAAGAAAAAACTGATAATATTGGAAGGCACTCTGAACTTGACAGAGAAGAAAATGAAGTGTCTGTAGAAAACAAGCAAGAATGCTCAGCATTCTGATTCATTCCTTCCTAGTAATATTTTTTCCTTTCTGTGACCTTGAGAAAACATGTGAAATAGTGAACCGATTAAAGTGATTCCCGGCAAGTTTTGAACGATAATATTCTTGTCTCATAGAAAGAATATAAAAAAGATTTGGAAAATGAAATAAAAGGCAGAGGAATGGATCTCAATTCAGAAGTTCTTGATATTCAAAGAGCAAAGCGAGCATCTGAAATGGCTAGTGAGGTAAGTATATTTAACAACTTAGAATGTATGCATTTTTAGCTAATTTTCTCATCTATCAATCTTTCTCAAAGATGATATACATCCCTATAAATACAACTTTTATGTTTAGGGATGATTGCCTACACATACAACTTTTATGTGTAGATGATTGTAAACAGCTATGTCCTAGTACTTTTTCTCCAGATAATGAATTTTTTTTAAAAGATGCTCGCAATCTCCTTTCTATGTAATATGCGAAAATGGCCATTTTTCCATTTCAGAGAAAATCTATGTAATAAACCAAAATAGTTTAAAGAGATCTAACTTCATCTCTTAAGTCCATAAAAGGCAGAAGATTGGGAAGGTGTGTTCTTATGGTCTATCAGTAACTGCAGTTAAAAAGTTCACATATAACCTTACTGACTCTCCCAATCTTTGCTGCTGAATGAGCCTCGTTAAACCTTTTTGTCAAATTAAAGTGGTTTCTACTCACTTTACATGCACTTTATAGGAAAGAATGAAATAGCTCTGAAGTGCTTTCAGTCCTTTAATCTTTGTATTATGTCATTAGTTTGGACCATCTAATGGCACTGTGCTTTGAAGAGAAGTTAGCTAAACTTAGCAGTGAAAAAGCTTAAAGACTTGTCCCCATATTTTAATAAACTGATTTTGATGATGACGATGACAACGACAGTTCTATTAGTCAGATTGCAAATTATAGAAACCCAACTCAAACTGGGTTCAGCAGCAAAGGAATTGCGTTAGCTCATTCAATAGAAAATCCAAAGATCGAGTTACCATGAAGTTGGAATTCAAATAATATCTCTCTTCCTTCAACTCTCAGTTCTGTTATCTTCTCTATTGACATCACTCTTGGGAGGCTGTTTCCATGTGATGGCCCCACTTAGTAACAGATAACTCATATCTGTGGGCTAATAATCCCAGTGAGCATTTGTTTTTTATATAGTTCCAATGAAGCACCTAGGGTTGTATCTCCTTGGATCAGCCTCTATCCTGTGCTCACACCTGACCTAATCATTGTGTCTGAGGTCAGGGGAGTATAATGTGCTGATTGGCCTCTTGTCATCACTCATTTGTTTATATAGTTTAACACTGTCTTAAATAAAACATTCTAAATGTTTATATGTTTCTAAAAGTTCGCCCTTATCTTGGCTATGTTCATGTTCTTTAAATAAATTAAAGGAAACATTGAACCGGCATTTCAGCAGAATTAAAAATATATGTGGGGAATAGGGGGCTGATGGAAATCAATTCCTCCCAAGTGGATGGATTGAGAGGGGTTGGAGGTCATTTCCCCAAAGGAAACTGTGGAGCTTGTTTCCAGAAAAAGGAGACATGGACGTTGGTCTGGCATGAACAGATGTTCACGGTGAGGCCTGTGACTCATGTTGTCATCACATGATCCTTACATTAATCATTTTCTACAAATTCTTCTGTTGTGATGACATGTTCAATCCACATGCAGAAGTCAATCTTGTAATCACTTGATAGTAACACTTGAAAAAACTGTCTCAGTCTTTCAGTGGCAAAGTACAGTCAGATGCAGTTGAATAACAGAGTGATGGCAGAAGCAGCATTAATCAGACCTTATTAGGAGAAGGAAGGGCTGGCCTAGGTCTTAGGGATGAAGGACCTGGAAAAGCTGTCAATTATGGACCACATCCCCTGAGCTGGGTTCTGTCCTCACAGTGCATTCTGCATGGTGGTACAGGGGATTCCATGGAGATATTGTGAGTTTGGTTCCAGACCACCACAATAAAGTGAATATTGTGATTAAAGTGAGTCACTTGAAATTTTTTGGTTTCCCAGTGCATATAAAAGTTATGTATACTTTTCCACATTGATCGACAATTTTGCAAAAGATTTCTCTGTGGCATGCGGTCATGTTGTTTGTTTTCAGAATCTTCATGGGAGTGAGCGTTGAAACCAACTGGAAAGCATCTTTTCTCTGTAGAAATGAATGTGGAAAGAACAGATATTTTGTATTTCACCCTTTTGCCTAAAAGCAAGCTTCTAAGACATGTTCTCTTTATGGAAAGTTGACATGTTTTAGTATTCACGTGTTTCCTTAGTATACTAATGACTGTGTTTATTCAACATTATTCTGATTTAGGTTTCTCTGTGTTCTTTGGGACTGCATACTAGGAAAATGGTGACAATTCAGTTATTGAGAACCCAGGTGAAAAACAGGCCTAGAGGAATTAGCCCTATTATGGTTACATGTAGCCAAACCAATTTTGGTGATGCTATTATCTTTGCAATCTAAGTGTCTCATTTGCATATAATCATAGTTATATTCCATTTTGCCAGATTGACTCCCTAGGCTTTAAAATTCTTTTCTCTCAACATTTGGGACTTTGTCATAATTTATTTTTAATATTCAAAGTTTATTTTTCAAGTAGAGTCAATGGAGTCTATTGTGACACCAATGTCCCCTCAATACTCAAATCTTCCTGTGTCTGTGGGCTTGACCATGTGACTTTCTTAAGCCAATGTGACTCAGGCAGAGGCTCTAAACATACTTGTGTCTCCTCTTAGAATGTAGATGTTGTTTTAAAACCTTCTAAGTTTTGGGGTGTTTTGTAGCTGTAAAAGATAACTGATGCAACTAGTGTCTAACGTAGTTCATTTATGTGCTTTAGAAAACTTTAAGATTTGAAAATTCATATCAAAAAATTAAGTGACATATTTCGACATGATACTTCGTTTGCTATCTATTGTCAGTGCCTTGGTTTCTACATATGTTGTCCTTCAAAGGAAATGTTTTGGGGCTTTGAATAATAGACTTACTAAAAACAGAGAGCTTTTTACAGAGAGTAGTAATTGAATCTTATTATTTTGAAAGTTAAACATTGTTACTTGTATTTTGATTTAGAAAAGTGAAACAGTCTAAGTCAGTAAAAACAGGAAAAGTTATGAGTAGAAGATAGGGGAAAGATACAATTTTTCCCAGATTGAGATTTTTGTTTATAGCTTATCTAAATTTGGAATATCTCAAATACACAAACCAATGTTTACATTGTAGCAGAGAATCTGAAAGTCTCGAGTATGTTAACATCATAGGAAATAATTGTTTTAACTTATGCAATTGATATAGTTGATAGATTTTTTAAATAAAACTTTTCTTGAAAGAATAATATATATACAAAAAAGCACATTTGTAAGTATACAGCTTGCTGAATTTTATAATCAGTTTTCAAATGTGACAAGAGTTTCTAAAGTCATGTGTGTCTATGTATTATAACTATTTTGAAAGTAACAGATAATCTAATTCGAGCTGACTTTTTTTTTTAAAAAAAGCAGATAATTTATTGTTCTTACAACTGAACAGTAGATAAATTCTTTGGCATGTCTTGACTTAGGACTCAAGTATTGGGTTACAGTTTCAGTTTTTGCCTTTCAGTTCTCAGGCAGGTTTTCTTCTCCTATTTGCAAAGAGCCTTCCAGTAAATCCCGGGGCTGCATCCTTTCTCATTCATGTCTAGAAGGAAAGAGATAGTCTCTAGATATCTTATGTGGAAAAAGAAATTCAACCATCCTTGAACCAGTCGTGCAGGGTCAGGGATGTGGTATAATGATTTACTTAAGACCATCAGAACCTGAGCCTTGGACCAATCTCATCTAAGCTGAGTGGTTTAGAATGGGGGAGTGCTGAGTTGCTCAGTGGTCAACCAGGGAACCAATGAAGGGAAGAGAAGGGGCAGATTCTGAGGAGGCAGACAACACTTATCCCCTATAGAGTGAAAAGCAGCAATTTTACAGTCACTTTCTATTGATATTCCTCAACTGAGTTATACACTAACCAAGAATTTATCAATTTATCATATTGGAATATAAAAATTTCCCCTTGGCTAGTGCTGTTGTTTTTTTTTTTTTTAAATACAAATTAATAGGAAAAAACCTTCTGATTACTTGAGAATGAGTCATTCGAAGTCATGTTCCTACCACAAATTAAAACTCTTTCTCATTGTATAGAAGTAAAAAAAACAGGACTCCACTTAATTTCAAATGATATGGTCCTGATGTCAAAATGACATCACAGTTTTTCAGCATGGTTTTTAAAACAATTAGAGAGCCCCAACTGCATGTTTCATTTTTTGCAGAAAGACTATAAAAGAGATCTGGAGACTGAAATTAAAGGGAAAGGAATGCAGGTGAGCACAGACACTCTCGATGTCCAGAGAGCTAAGAAGGCATCCGTGATGGCCAGCCAGGTAAGAACACAGTGGGATGCAAAGTTGAAAACAAACATACTGAAGCATATGTAGAAAGAGTATAAATGTTATTTCCGTATGGGTGGCTTTGAGATTCAAACACATAAATACCTACATTGCTATCAAAGGTTAAGCAAGACTTTAAGATTATTTTCTGTTCTTTTAGAAACAATATAAGAAAGACTTAGAAAATGAAATTAAAGGGAAAGGAATGCAAGTGAGCATGGATATCCCAGATATACTTCGAGCCAAGAGGGCATCTGAAATCTATAGTCAGGTTAGTTGGCATGAAGATGCTCAGACTTATGTATTCTAATATCCAGTCACCATGTGCTTTGTGTGTTTATATGATTTACATCTTTTTGAAGGCATTGCATTCAAAGTTAGTATACTCCAATCTTAAGAAATCATTAGCTAAACTTGATTAACCTTACTAATTAAAGGAATAAGTACCTTGTTTTGAGTCCAAAAGCATTTTGCCCCCCTTTTTTGACTCTGCTATATACTTGGCTCAAATGCTCTTTGCCCATACTACAAAAAAATAGTTATAATTTGTCTTTTAACTACATCACAATGAATACTATTATTAGCATCATTAGCTCCAAATTAAAGTTAGCAGTGGCTAAAAACTGCATAAGGTATAAGGTAAAATTTAATATTAGCTAAATATTAAAGGATGAGTTAATTTTTTTTTTGGTAAAATGTAGATTTGCCAAATATACCTGTCACATTTTCTCTAAACAAATGAATGTAGGAGAAATAATAACCACAGAAGAAATATTTATGGAGCAATTTATGAATAAAATCTGATTTGGGCAAAAATATTTGTTAGTGAATACTATCTTTGCTATAAAATTTACATGAAAAAGAATGAATCCCAGTGGAAAAAAAGTAAATGAGAATGAAAAAAATTAATGCGGTTGTAGAAAACTGATTATAGAGTTAAATCTGGTTAATGAGTTTGTGCTGAAAATAATTTTAAACAAAATTTGGCCAAATTTGTTAAAATTCTGCTTGAAGCATAAACAAGAACACTAAACATTCACTGGTTCAAAAGGGGAATATCAAATGTCAAAGGAGTTGCCTGCCACTCGGCCTCCTCAGACAACACAGCATTGAATCCTGGAGTGCATATTCTTCTGTCCTCAGTGCCTCTTGATGGCATCTGAAGTTGGAGACATAGACTCTACCATTTCAGCTTAACTAAAATCCTGGGTAAATACATTAAATAGGCAAGTGAGTATTGAGTCAGTGAAGAAAGTTTGCTATCTGAAGAATGCCAAACTCATTCCTTCAGTCAGCAAATATTTCCTGAGCACCAATTCACATACAAAATTAGACATGGTAATGCCCCTAGAGAGCTACATACTAATCTATAATCACATAAATATAGTACTACAGACTACAATAGATACTACTTGAAAGTAAAAGTATCAAGACTGAAGACTTCCCAGAGAAGAGGGTGCCTGAGCTGTCAGATTTCCTGCTTTAACTTCACAGTGTTGGTTTTTTTTAGTGTGACACAAAAGACATCTAACTTTAAGGGATATTAACAAATTTCAAATATGATCTTAAGAGGATGCAGTGATGCTGTGGTGTTTTTCAACATGAACAGTAGTTACTTTTCTTCAATATGCCATAATGGTTAACTTCACTAATTTTGGGGTCAGAGAGGCTGATTTTAAATCATAGCTCTGATATTTATTATGTAGTACCTCAGTTTTCCCATCTGTAAGATGGAGATAATAATAGTACCTGCACGTGTGGCTGATTAAATGAGTTAGTGTGTTAAGTGTTTGGAACAGTATTAGAACAATACACAAGACACAATAAGTACTATGTATTAGTTTAGGGTATTGCCTAGGTTGTATTAGAGCTCTGAGTAGTTTGTTTAGTGGATAGAAAATCGAGATTTTTATTTCAACCACAATATATGGGTACCTTTTCCTGGATCAAATGTATTTTTACCTGAAATAGAAAGCAAAGCACAAAATTAAGTAGGTATAGAGATCCAGGTTACTTGCAGGAACTATCAGGCCATTTGAACAGAGACCAAGATTGCTCATGAAAGCATAGGTCTTAAGCTTAGGAAGGGCATAAGGGCAAGTCCTCCAAGATGTTCGAGTGGACCAGGGTGGAAATCAGAGCCTGAGTAGCGGTGAGGCTGTCGTGGTGGATTCTTTGCTTACTCTGTTTACACATGCCTTTTATTTTTGCGGTTGCATCAACTGTTTTGAATCATAAGCTATAATTTAGAGTCATGTGTTATGGTAGAGTTGGAAGAAGTGGTACTGTTCTCTGTTTCTGTGTCTCTGTCTCTCATATACAAAAACACTGAGTTTCAGATTCATATTGTTTATATTTTTAGAAAAAGTATAAAGATGAAGCAGAGAAGATGCTTTCTAACTATTCTACTGTGGCAGATACTCCTGAAATTCAGAGAATTAAGACAGCGCAACAAAACATCAGTGCGGTGAGTAGTCCTTAGTTTTTTTTAAGTTGTCCACTTGAAATTTTATGTTTTGTGAGGAATGACCTCTTTTTTCATTGTCTGATTTTTTTTTTTGCTGTATTACCTTAGTTTTCTGTCAAATGCATTATCTTTATTTCTTTAAAATAATAGAAATACTGAATACTCTTTAAAAGTATAATTTATCATGATTGTTTTGAAATTGCAAATTCAAAGTTTCCTCTTTGGTATAAGTGACAGTTATTAACTGGATTTTAAAATCTGACTTGGGGAGGAAATCTTAATCTTCCACACAACTATTACTTTGAAGATGAAAATATTCATATGAAGTGATTTTCTTTTTAATCACTGAGTATTTGCACTGATAATATATCTAGGGAATTACTGTTTCATAACCAATTCCTAAACTTTCATATTTTTATTTCTGAGGCATAGGAATTACATCAGCACTCTTCATTAAGAGATTTGGTCTATATTTAGTGGCTGTATATACTTGACTTCTGTTCTAAAATTATAAAAATTGACCATACAACCAGTATTTTAATGTTGAATTAGCTCAGTCAGTTAGTAGTTAAGCAAGTGTCTCATCAAAATGTAAATCTATTACATTTAATGACTTCTGGAATATTTTGTGTGTCCTGATTAATTGGCACGCTTCAGTTCTTAGGGTATGCTGGTCAGGTGTCTGCCGGGGCTCCACAAGGAGGGCCAGGCAGTCCTGAGAAAATCAATCCTGTGATTCCATGGTATTCCAGATTTCTAGCTTTGGGAGGAAAACATCTCTCCCACAGTGCTGTCCTGCTCCCACGGGGGCCACTGGATGGCCAAATGTCAAGAGAGGGAGTAATTCTGTCCTCAGATGACTTTCTTATAATTGCCCTATTTTTCTGTAGAGTGCTCTTTTTTTTGTTTTGCTTTGTGTTTGAGAGGGATAGATGATGTTGGTAGGAGTGGAGAGACATGTGGAAAGGTTAACAAATAAGTGGAGGAGGAGGAAAGTAGACTTTGAATTAACATTCATGTTGGCAATAGAATATTAGTATTTTCTTTGATGAGAGTGTGGGTATTCTTGTGTTTGGAGAATAGCAGTTGTTTAAAATTTCATGCTGTTTTTGAATCAAATGATAACTGCTTAATGAGCTTTTGTAATGTGTGCTTTGATTTTTCTTAAATACACATGTGACATATATTTATATTTGAAGAGGGAAACTCTGGTTTGCCAATTTATATTCTTAAAGCAAACAGTCCGCAGCCAGCTAAGGTAGCAGTCGTGCCCTAGAACAGGTAACAGAGGGTTACTTGTAAGATTATGGGATATGAAACTAATGTTGGACATGTATTATTATAATTATTTGATTAATTCATATATTGTTGGTATTCATGAATAGATGCAGTATTCACATCATTATAAAACCCAGGAAATCGTGTTTCTTTTATAAGAATCAGATCTAGGACTTGAATTCTGACAAGCTTTGTTATCCTTTTCCTTCTCTCATAATAAAGGTATTTTATAAGAAAGAAATAGGAGCTGGAACAGCAGTAAAAGACACTCCAGAGATTGAACAAGTGAAGAAAAATCAGCAGAATATTAGTTCAGTAAGTTCTCTATAGCATTAATTATCCTTTCCAAAAGCAAACAGAAGCTTGAGAAATATTTATTGTTCTTAACTGACTAATTTTTTCTTTTATTTTTCACTTTCTTGAAATGCTGTTTCATCATATATCTATGGTCTTACTTGCAGAATGAAAACTGTAGCCTTGTTCCCATTTTGATATAGTGAGGAAGAGATAGGTCATTTTAATGAACTCTAGCATTAGATTTCATCTCTTTGAACAGAATTCAACTGTATTAAATTTTGCAGAGAAAGGATCCATTTCAGTACCTCTCTACAACTTGGAAGAAAGAAATTTTACCCTGAAAATTTATTTGGTGGCTTAAGTCAAGAGTTAGATTTAAAAAATAAAATAGTACCAGTTCATTTTTAACCAATGTCAGTCACAATTTTTAGCTTTCTCTCAGACACATTTCTGTCCATATTTCTCTTCTCCAGCTCCATTTACCTTCTAATACTTACAGCAAAGAAAAATACACACCATCACTGGTCATTATCAAGTGTAAAAGTAACTTATTCTCCATTTACCTTGGGACTGAGGGGAGGAGTAAAAGAGGTGTTTAATGTTATTGGCAAAAGTTTTTTTCTATGCAGTGCTTGACATTTCAATGAATAATTGCTCTCCTTACCAATAGGTATTTTCCCTTGTATATGCATATTTATTTATTTATTTTTATTTTTAATTCTTAAAAATCTTTTACATTTTTTTGTACAGACAGGGATCTTGCTATATAACCTAGGCTGGTCTTGAACTCCTGGCCTCAAGCAAGCTTCTTGCCTTGACTTCCCAAGGTGCAGGGGTTACACACATGAGTCACCATGCTTGGCCCCATGTTTATGTAGTATATTTTGTTTCTTGTTGAGGAAGTAAAAATGGTTCCTTCTTTAATGTACTTTCTTTGGGGTTTTTTGTTTTGTTTTGTTTTGTTTTGAGTTGGAGTCTCACTCTGTTGCACAGACTGGAGTGCAGTGACCGCTCCCGGCCACTGCAGCCTCGACCTGCTGGGCTCCAGGAATCCTTCCGCCTCAGCCTTCCAGTAGCTGGAACTACAGGTGTGCGCTACCATGCTCGGCTAATTTTTTGATTTATTGTAGAGATGAGGTCTCGCCAAGTTGCCCAGGCGGGTCTCGAACCCGCGGGCTCAGGCAATCCAGTCACCTCAGCCTCCCGAAGGTGCGGGATTACAGGCTGAGCCACCGAGCCTAGCTCATAACGTACTTTTTCCGACGTCTTCACCTCTACCCTTGGAGATGGTACCTTCCAGAACTTTTCTTTAAGTATTCAAGTAAAACTGCCCTGATTTGACTCATCTATGGGTAACTCTGGTAGGTAAGTGGTATCCTGAGAACATGAGTGTGGGCTAGCATTTGTGGAGAAAGTGTAGGAAGTGTAGAAAGGGCAAGGGAATGCTGTAGTAAAACATACTTCAAAATGCAACTAGAAAAAGTCTGCAGCATTTAAGTGGGGCAAAAGTCTGTAGCATGAATGAAGCTATCTCCTGGAGCATAAGGAGAAAGAACTAGGTCCAGGCATGGATGAAGGTGTATGAATGTGTTGTTCTGATCTGCTACGGCGAGAGCCTGTGTCAAGGCAGCACTTGGGTTTGGTAGAGGAATTAGTTTGGGAGAGGAGAATAAACTGTTTGTTTCCTTCACTTTCAAATGATAATATGTGAAATGTAGCCATCAATGTACTGTGATATAATGTTATAAATGTTCTGTAGTGTGCAATTCTATAACCTACAGTGAAATGACTCTGTCATTTTGATTAGTTTATAGTCCTATGAAAAACAAAAATGTTCATCTTTAATCATGTTTAGCTTCTTACCCGAGGAAAATCACACAAAGTAGTACAGTATATCATTTCTTTTCCCAACATCCCACAGCCTCTTCTAGCAACACAATAAATGCATAGTTTGGTATCTCTGTGAGGTGGGGCCATAAACTCCTACTTAGTATTCAAATGGAAAGTTGCCCTTTCAAGATTTGCTAGATCTGTCAAACCAAGATATGATTCTCTAACATTTAAAGATCTCGACATTTTCTACCTCCAGAGTACAAGCCTTTTAGCTATTAGCTCTCTGTGTTAAAACTGTTTTTGAATTTTATTTAGATGTAGCCTGTCTCAGTGAGCTTTCACTTTAACTGTTTTGGGTCTGAACTAACACTGGCATTGTTACTCATATTGAATCCACAGATTCTAAGACATAGATGACATCTGAGATCTTTAGGTACTGTGTCTTTATGACAGTCTGCATGGATTTCTGCTTTAATCATTTTCAACATTACCAAGTTATTTCTGAAACAGGTTTTGTGTTGAATTTCTGTGGAATTTCAGCACAGGTCTCTTAAGTCAGGTCTGTGCTTCCATGTATTTACATGCATGTATCCTTTTTCTCAAATTCAATCTTCCATGAATTTTAGACATGTAACATGCCACCAGAAGTGGTAGCATCAGTAACATTTTGCAAATTAAAAGGACTGTTCCTTGTCCCATGCATGACTGTGTGCTGGTATAACCATTTGCCTGGTTGATCTTCCTCTAAATATTATGATACAAGGGGGAGTTTTGAATGAAGTGGATGACAGGATAAAGGTGGGATTTTCATAAAGTGATTATGTGGGAAAAAGAGACTCATGACTGTCTTGTATTGACCCTTCTTATAGTGGTTAGAACTCAGTGGTCTATGCCTTTAGTATACTTCTCTCCAATTACCTTGTACTCTTCGTTTATTATGGTCATTTTATTTTTTTCCTTATTCTGGATTATGTGTATGCTCTCTGTCAGACAAGCAGTGTTTCCCAGACTCTGACTAACTCAGTTTGACTTTTGTCTTTAAATACATGTTAAGTTTTAATTACCATATTAATAGATAGAAACAACCTTTCAGCTAGAAAATAATAAATCATTATATCATTTAATATAATTTCCATGGTTTTTTCATGTATCTGCCAAATGATAAAATGTATTTTTATAAGCAACATTTGCTTATTTTAATTAATAAACTCTTATAGTGATGATAGGTGAATGGATATGGATTTATTTGTACATTAGGATAAAGGAATCCTGAAAGCATCAGAAAATGAAAACTTGTATTCCCAGTGAAGGAAAAATAATGTTGAAATATATATTAAAAAATTATGCAATAGTTATAAATGAAGAATCCTTAACTATTTTTAGGCCTTGTGTAGAATACTATTAACATTATATTCTTATGATTTATTCAGGTGAAATACAAAGAAGAGATTAAACATGCAACAGCCATTTCTGATCCTCCAGAGCTGAGGCGAGTTAAAGAAAACCAGAAGAACATCAGCAATGTGATTCAATTTCCTTAAGTATTTTTTTCTGTTTTATTGGGTACCAATCTGTTATAATGAGGGCATGCCACCTGTACAGGTAAAATCCCATTAAAGTGAATACTATTGCAAGAGGGTCATTTCCTTAAAAGTGGAGATAACATTTTACCCATCATTATATCTTCCAAGACACCTAGTCCAAAGCTTTGTGAACGTTTGTTTATTAAAGAAATGTGTTATTGAATGTCTACTCTGTTCTTGCTCTCATAGGATTTCAAAGATGAGTGAGATATGCCCTAAGATTAAGAGTTTGGACATTTTAAAGGTCTGCAGGAGAAAGAGAGATACATAATTATTACACATTGTTTAAGTTCTTTGGCAATTGTTAATACTTGTGTGTTTACTCTGTTTCTGAGTATTTACATGCAATAGCTCCTTTAACCATAAGTAATAATACCGCTTACAAAGTGCTATGGAAACACCAAGAAGGAAGGCTCTGTAGTGGGAGAGAGGCATGGCCTTAGAGAAGCAGTAACATTGGAGTTAGATTTTCAAGATTTAATAAAGGCTTGGGGTGGATTTTGTAAGGAAGGGCATTCCTAGTAGAATATACCAAGTATGTTTGGGATCCAGCACCTGTTCAAGAAGTGTAGAGGGTTAGTGTGATGAGTACTTGGGGTGAAAGATGGGAGGCAATGATGCTGGAGAGGGAAGCTGAGATACAGATCATAAAGAAGTAGTATGGAGTCCCATGGTATCCCCAGAGTGTAGTTTGTATGCCACTATGGCATTCAAGATGTTATGAAGCCCCCCAATGAGCAGTCCTTGACTTAGTGATTAAATTGTTTTAATGTTTACTGTCTCCTAAAAGGAGGATTACTAGTTTTCAATGTATGGTGGAAATATAACACTCTCTTAAAATAGCCTTATTTGAAGGCAACAGCGAGTTAATTTAGTGAAAAAGTAATACTGTAACAACATAGGTGTGTTTTATAGAATTTATCTGGTGTGGCATATGGAAAGTGTTATGCAAATGGCAGAAATTTGGGAAATTTGGATATCACCCAAGTGAGGGATAAGAACATGGACCTGAGACTGCAGGTTGGTTTGATCTCAGCTCCAGACCTTACTTGTATAATCTTCACAAGCCAACAATCTCTCATAGCCTCCATTTCCTTGTCTATAAAATAGGGATTAGAGTATTAAAGAGATATTGCCTGTAAAGCACACAACATGTTTGTGAATGGAAGAATGCAAGACATAATTATGCTTCCTATCAAGTTTATGTTCTCAAACTTGTATCCACTAGAAATTGACTGTAGCAGTTTCTCTACATCACTAATGCTAATCTGCTATTAAGTTTTTCCCCTCTGAGCTTTATCTAAGAGTAATCTTTCCTTGTATCCTGCCATCAGTAGAGTTTAAACTGAAACTTTCCTCATCTTAACTCAATCTTCCCAGTCACACGAATCTGTCTAACCTCTCAAACTACATACCATGGCACAAAGAAAGTCAGAGATTGAGGAAAGAGGTCAGATCGGAGGGTCCTAACCCTTTTTCATTTATTTTCCAGGCTTATTAAACTTCTCTTCACTTTCATGTTCACTGCATGTACATCTCAAGTCCTTTTTTTTTTTTTTTTTTTTTGGAGTCTCACTCTGGCCC